CACACAGAGCTCAAATCATCAGCTGAGTACGTGCGATACACGCGCCCGTTCCCATCTCTCTTTGACCCGTCGGGCCTCACCGACCCACCACCACCGCAGACGAAACTACACTCCACACCGCAAATCTTACTGAAACACGAGAAAAGTCCGTTACCTCCATCTGTGTGACGGCGATTATGCTTTTTTATCGCCGGAGTTTTTCTTCTAGAACTCATTCCTCCACCGGCGGGAACGATCGAACCGTCGAAACCGCTGCTGCTTATCTGGCTTGATCCTATATCGTATAACGGTGGAAGCTCCGTTTTCCATCTCTCTAACTTCGAACGCAATCCTTCGATGCTAGTTTCGTCGATGCTCCACTCGCTGAGTATTGAGCTTTCCGTTTCGTTAGCGTTCGATCTATCTTTCGCAATCTTCTCAGCTACTTCTGATGGCGACGGACCTAACTCCGATTCGGTTAAGATTCGTCTTCCTGCTAGATTCGCTCTCATCGGTGTACCGAAATCGTGATGAGTTTTCATCGGTGTAGCCATGTAGCTTGATCGAATCGGAGTCGATCCTACCATGTTAGATCTCATCGGAGTCCGCATCGGAGTAGATCCAGTCATGTTGGGATGCATCGGTGACATTGAGACGATTTTAGATCTCATCGGAGTTGTTCCGATTCCGTTAGATCTCATTGGAGTTGATGAAACGATGTTCGATCTCAACGGTGTTCCGTGTCTCGATAAGTACGGTGAAGCTCGACCACCACGATCGTATTCCTTCACCGATCTCTGTCTCTCGTTCATCGTCGTCCTTCTCGGTGCCTTACGTGATTGGTGATACGAACCGTAAGGTGCGTCATCGTGTCTCTCCCTTCTTTGCATCATCACATTAGGTTTGATCTCTCTTGGTGATGGATCTATAAGGTCTGATTCGATCGAATCGTATCTCTGCCTTGGAACCTTAGGAGGAGGAACATAATCGTCCGATTTCGTCGTTTCGGAATCCGTCGTGGTTGGTACAGTTTCAGATTCGCTACTCACCAATGCACTCGCATGTTTCCGATTAGCCAAACGGCTCCGTTCAGCTCTGCTTAGAAGATCAGAAACAACCATCGAGCTCGTATCGCTCTTCGTACGACGAAGTTCCGGTCTCGAGATCACTGATTGGTATTGCCTCGAAGATGGAGATTGTGGATTCTTTGAGCTTCCTTTGTTGCTGTTCAAATGCAAATGTTGAAGATGGCGATCTTCTTCTCCAAGCAAATCTCTGTATCCAACAGCTGAAGAATCCATATGTGTATAAAGTGGCATACTTCTCATGGAACCATCAAGTATTCCAACACCAATGTTCAAAATCCCTTGAGGTCTACCTGAAGTACGACGAACTTGAAGTGCGACGAATCTCATTCCTTGAGGCGGTGTGCGTCGGTATTCGTTGTTGCTTGTTCGGTATCCAGGACGACGATTTGGTGGAATGAGATTGCTTATGAGGACACGAACGGTGCCTACGTGAACATCACGGAACCAATGTAAAGCGTAGATTTCGATTACAACGGCTGAAGTATCAGCGTAGAGAAACTCTTCGTTGACTCGGAATACGAATTTGTCGTTCCATGTTGGGTTTGGTCCGCCGTTGTAGTCGACGCGGGTTGTGAGTTTACGTTCGGAGTGAACCCAAGCCACCGCGTAAGTCTTCATTTTGCGTGATACAGGAGCCAAGTCTTGAGCTGAGATTATGTTCAGCTCAAGCAACTGAAATGATGGGAACAACGACATTTTTTAGGACCAAACAGATTGATTTCACATTAAAAATCTTTCAAGACAGTTTTTTAATGTTTTTTTTTTTCTTTTGGAGAGGGTAGGAGAATTGCGAGAGGAACAATTAGATTTGTTTCTCTTGCAATTCCCGAATTCAAAAATTCTGAGAAGTTTGATGATAGAAATGAAGGAAGAAGAGGTAGATTGTTTGATCGATGGTGGAAATTTCCGAAAGATTGGGAGAGAGGTAATAATAACCATTGCTTTTTTACGGTCTTTATTAATAAGATGTTATTTTCGGTTTGTTTTTGTGGAAAGACAACGAGTCAATTAGGAGTAGTGTGGTGTTGTACAGCAGAAAGTTTGCTATATTAAGAGATGATGACTCGTAATGGTCAAAGTTGACAATTGGTGATGAACTCAATCCTATGCATTGCACCGAAGTATGTGTGTTTTTTTAGTAGTGAATTGTGTGTCAAGATTTGTAGAATTCTATTTTTAGAATCACATGAGAAGGATTAATGAATCAAAATTACAATATTTTTCTCATGATAGCTGTTTTTCTCAAAATAGAAAAGTTGAAGAAAGAATTTGTGGGGATTACAGTAGTGTTGCTACTATGTACACGTGTGAATTGTGTGGAATAATGGGTGAAATAAATTAAAGAGAAAATTCGTAAACAAGAAAATACTAGAAGGGTCTCCTTTGCGTATATTTGCCCTTTACCAGAAAATCGAATCAAACCCCACTTATCCCCTCTTGTCTCGTAGTGGAGTCACATGAGAACCTCAAAATCGTCTTCGTTGAATCGTTGTTATTGGGGTCCTCCGAATCACAATCCACAAATAACATTCGAGGCAATTACAAGATTCGAAAATCGACGACCCACCAATTGGTGAAAGCGATTGAATTCAAAACCAACGTGCCTTAAAGGAAACCAAAGTTGAAGACTTTTGAAAGGATTTAGATTTGAGAAAGAGAAAGACCCACAAAAAAGATGCTGAAGAGCGAGCCATCTCTCGAGATTTACTGCGATTCCGGAGATGGGTTCATCAAATCCGAAGATCCGGTGATCGGAATCGAGGAGAATTTGGAGAGAACGGTTACGATTGGTGATTCGATTGACTCCTCCGACTTCAGTTTTGCTAAACACAAGGAGGAAGAAGGTGAGAGTGTTGAAAAGGGAAAAGGAGTTTTTGATAGAGAAAGTTTAGAGATTGAAAGACCACCAAGTCCTCCTATGCATTTGGCTGCAGGTTTAGGGATTGATAAGTTTGATTTGTTTGGTAATGAGACCAAATTCGATTTACCGAGTTTCGATGATGAGGGTTGTGATGATTACTACAAAAGAATGCTCGATGAGTATCCAGTGCATCCTTTGCTTCTCAAAAACTATGCCAAGTTCTTGGAGGTATTTGAATTTGACTAAAATCATAATCTTGTGTAAATGTAATGACTCTGTTTTGAAGTTGTTTTCTTTGTTATTGTCAAATACAGTACAAAGGAGATGTAAGTGGAGCAGAAGAGTATTATCACAAGTGTACTGTAGTTGAGCCTAGTGACGGAGTAGCCTTAGCAAACTATGGTAGATTAGTGATGAAGCTTCATCAGGATGAAGCCAAAGCCTCGAGCTACTTTGAACGCGCTGTGCAAGCATCTCCTGAGGATAGGTCTGTTGGATTGGAACATTCATGGTTTACCATTAATGGTGTCTGTGATAGTAACAACCTGAATGTTTGTTTTTACTTTTCAGCAATGTTCTTGCAGCATATGCTAGTTTCCTTTGGGAGATAA